CAATACCCTACAGTACTGCAATGGCTCCCTCTCCTCCACCTCCTAACAAACAGCACTTAGAAGTACTTAGACACTCATGATCTCATCCCCTACTCCTAAGCCAGAGCTAAGATGGATGAAATGATTCTGTATGATAAATGGTTGGCCCTGAATCACACACGAGTCAAGAGTAAAGGAAGGCCTGGAACTGAAGTCATCTTATTGCAAGCTGGGTGTCTGTCACCTCCACCCCACTCCACCTGGATTAACAGAGGGCAGGGAGAACAGAAGACGCTGCCTACTTGTTCTGTACCCAGGACACCAGGTTTGCCAACACTCCGTTCACGTGCCCTTGTGGTGCCAAAGTCCCAGGGCCCGGCTGGAATTCAGGACACATGATGCAGGGTGGTGTGTGGATTTCTGGACTTGTTTGCTTTCAGTTAAACAAACTGACTTAGATACAAAAAAATAAGTCCAGGTTGATCAATCATCAGAAGTCTCATAACTCACCTCAAGAAAACCTTCATGTTCATTTTATGTGAATGTGTTCAATAGCATTAAATGTAACTTTACCCATCCACTCCTCCAAATAGAACATATACCCTTGAATCATGCCAGGTCACCAAGGAACTACCAAATAAAATGACTATTAGAATTAATTTCCTTCTCATAAAGCCTAAGTTCTAGTTTTAATATACAAAATAGAAAAACTGATAAGCTTGTAATAAATTGAAAAACATAAAAGCAGAAAATGGAACTCAAAGTACAACCTCTTTATACATATCTGAAGTTCATTATTTAGAGCCTCATTTTTTGCTGTTGAAACTGTCAGTCGGTTGATGTGATGATAGGCCAGAAATACACATTAGAGCACAAGCTGGTAACATTAATAGGAGACTTCGGATGTGCATTAACAATTGCTGCATTGTAAACATTCACTGTGAGAATGAACTTTGTATTTGTGTGGAAGAGGCAAACATTTTGGCATTTGAAGTAAGTAGAAGTCTATTTCCAATAGTGGCAAGACAGATACACACCACCTAGTCAGTTAATGAATCACCGGTGTTCCATCTCCTGCCCTTCTCCAGCTGAAGCCCGGGGAGTGACTGGGCTTGATCTCAGGGGGTGGCCATCCGTCCTAGGCACATTGTCAGGTGCACCAAAACACAAAGTGACTATTCAAAATAATAAATTATTCTCTTACATATACCTCCACTGATGCAAATAATTGAGAGGGAAGTACATTCTCTTGGGACTCATAGATAAGAGAGTGAAGGCCGGCTCAGAATTACTGACCAATGAAAGAGCATTACAGTACTGTCAAGGAGTCTGGTGTTCTTTTTCTGGCTGCCACTCATAGTGTGACCCTTGGCAAGACATGAACACGAAACCATTGCTTTCTCCCTGACATGGACCTGCTCAATTTATCTCATAGGATTGTTCTCCAAGTTCTTTAAAAAGCTTATGTAAAATATATTAAAAGCATTATCATTGCTACTACATTATTTAAAGACAATTTTTTTTTCATAATGTAACTTTGTAAACTATCTTTAGGGTCTAAAAAATGCTCCTAGATCTATTATCTAACAAGTAGAAATAACAGAATGACAGAAAATCCTAATTATAAATCTTCAAATTCATTAGATCCATAATTTGCGTTGCAATGAGTCTGCTGGTTAGATGTTGATTAAAATCACTGCTGTATAAAGTGATTCATTCAATAATTCTTTGGGAATGCAAATTCAAGTGTAGGAAACAATAAGCACACTTTAAACATGAAATAATGTTGACATTCTAGGAGATGATTAAGCAAATTAAGAAACCATAACCCAAAATGTTTTAAAATGATGTTACTGATTTCCTCAAAACTAAAGGATTAGAAAATAGAATTTCAATTTATAAGTCAATTATAAACCTTTGTACTCAGGTATATTAGAAGCATATAATATTCAATAAAAAGGCATCGAGGCCAGTATACGAATGTGAGCTTTCAGTTTTATAGGAACACAAGTTCTAGTTGTTAACCAACTCCTGGCACTCAACTTAGGGGAGTCCTGCCTTGAATACTAATCAAAGGGAAATAACCTTAAGTTAACACTCTAAATCCTGTTTTTAAAAAATCATAACAAGGAAACACATTCCTCTAATAAACTTGTGGAAGATTAGAAGTGACTGTAGAAAGCATGTTTTACAGAACTAATGACTTTGATGCCTAGCAGCACTTTTTACTAGAATGATCAAAGACCTCAATTATTGCTTATTTCTCTGGATAATGATTAATGCTTGTGCACTGGCAGTGTGGAATATCGCACATACAAGTAAGTCTGCAGCAAGTGAAGGTGTTACGTTTGCTCCCATTTCTCCTAAGAAACAGGCTGCAAGAGTCACTTCCGTACATGGTATTGCAGAGCCTAGGATTTAATAGTGACATGGCTGGCATTTTAGATGATAAAATTAAACATGTCTAAAAACATGCAGCACAACAAGAGTTAACACACTTGATTTCCTGTTCCACATTTATTGGGGCTAGAGAGACTAAAACAGCTATTTTCCTCTCAATTCATTGGAAAAATATAACATGACAGGAATTTCTTAAATACATAACAAAACTTTCTGGATTATGAATCAACATGAGATGTAATAGCCTATAGATATCAATTGTGGCAGCATTTTAAAATATCATTTATCTAAGGCGTTCTGAAATTGTCTCTGAAGCTACACATATATACATGATTCTATACACATAAAGGCATCCATTCATGAACAGAAAGTCTTTTAGAAGCACTGTGTAGGAAAGGTTAAAATAATACATACATGTTTAGATTCTGAATAATTTATGAGTCAATTTCGGGTTCCAAGAAGCAGTGATTTACATTTAAATAAGCATTTAGATTTTCAGACTTGGATAGGTAAAATTTTTGTGATGCAGGCTACAAGAAAAGTCACTGTGATGCAGACTCCAAGAAAATTCAAAATTATTCCTTTTTCAAAGACCTCCTTCAAAAGAGAAACGTCAAGTCCAGAACAAACATGAACCAGTAGGATGCCTAAGATTCTAAAATGTCCTTCCATATGAATTTCCTCCTCATTTCCCTACCTAAGAAAAAGAGAAGAGTTTTTAGAAGGGGCAATGGCTAGATGTTATGCCATTACAACCAGTAGTGTTTCTGGATGGTTAAGTTCTTGCATCCAATTTTGGTGAGGGATTTTAAAATTTCTATTTCAAATGGACTCAACCACTCCAAACACAAAAATATTTTGTTACAACATCCAAACATGATCATGCAGACCCAGATTTCTTCCTAATACAGAATGAGAACCACTAGGGAAGGATAAAGCTGACAAAGGGAGGAGACAAGGTTGAACCCTTTCACTGGCAATTATCCAAAATGACAACATCAGTCTAGGTTATCAAGTTGTCAGCTCTCTCTTTTATAAACAAATTCTCTAGATTGGCTTACATCTCAACCCTGATGCACCAGATATACTGAGATTTCACCTACCAATCTGTTCCTTTTGATCCTGACAATCTCACACAGGCCAATTCTCTTAGCTATTGAGGGAAGAAGTCACCGTTTCCCAGGTATTTTCAACATTTAAAAACTTAAGTCCAGTTATTTCAAGTCTTTTTGACAAACCCCACTCCTTATTCTCCCCTCACATACACACACAAAGGAGCTAATTCTGATATAACAGTATCTCTGTGAGAAGACTGTTCCTTCCATTTTTTCCAAGGAAATAACATAGATATTTTCTTCCACTTTTACTCCAAATTCAGGAGCTCCACCTTTAATAACATAGTCTTTTGGGTTACCTGAAATCAGCCCATTTTAAGATTCTTTGTGGAACCAAGCCTGAAGAGTTTACAGAGTAGTATGCTGCCACTATTGACATTCTTGACACAAAAATTCAATTTCAGTTGAGTCCCTGTGATTCCCCTGAGCAGTTATAAATGCCTTTTACTATAACGAGGCAGTGTAAAACAAAGCAAATTATTCAAATATATATATATATACACATTTATACTAATATGAAATACATTGATAGAGGAGATCATTGATTTCTTTTTTCTGAAGTGTTTTGAGTTTTGAAGGAAAATAAAGACACTTAATATTGAGAAATTTCTAATAAATGATTAAAAATGTTTTTGGTTGGCTGCCATTCAAAAGTTTCCCCAGCGTTCTCATCAATGTTCTATACAAACTATAAATAAAAATATACATGACCAAAAGTACTATATGTATATATACATACGTATATACATAGTATGTGTGAATTAAAGTTCCTTAAATATACACATCCCCACTTGGGATATATTCCATTACATAGGCAATAATAGGCCCAGATAGCAGCAATTTAATAATGTAGTTATCCAGTTACTCAGAACATATCATAGGTCCTGATAGTTCCTGACATGGCTTCAAGGAGAGCTCTCCACTGTCATTAATACAGTTCTCATGAGGCACCAGGCTACATTGCTGATGGCAATTATGTCATCCTGTCACTGGAAGAAAAGTTATTGTCCTTTCAAAACCCATTTATTCAAAATCTGCTATGGTATAATGGGAAAAACAAGTCATTTTATTTCTTACATATTTTGGTTGTTTTATCCGTGCCTTGTACATACAGAAAAGTATTCAGATTGCCTTAACAGACACTAAACTCGGCTAAGAAGACAGCTGCTCTGAATTGTGTTTGAAAATATAGAAATAACCTGGCCAGTGTGGCTCAATTGGTCTGAGCATCATCCTGTACACCGAAAGGTCACAGGTTCGATTCCCGATCAGGGCACATACCTAGGTTGTAGGTTCGATCCCTGGTCAGGGCGAGTACTGGAGGCAACTGATGGATGTTTCTCTCTCTTTCTCTCTCTCAAAAAAAAGGTAAATAACATGATTACCAATCAGTATTTTTACAAACTGAGTTTGCATGATGTCATATTAAGTATTGTTTTTAAAAGAGTTATGTTTATGAGTCTATACTTGAGTAAGTCAAGAACGTACAACCAAAATTTACATATATAATATGCAAAAAACCTTTAGGTTGCTTTATATTAAACAATATTAGTCACAGAAGAAAATACAGAATGGCTTTTACATAAACATTTGTGTGTTTTACTATTGTGTGTGTAATAATACACACTATTATTTTATGTATCTATCCAGGCACACCCAGTGGACAGAAATTCTAGGTGGGCAGCAAGTTATATGGGTTCTAGATATACATATGGACTTTACTACTCATTCTTGGTGTGTACTTTTAGGTCTAATTGTAAATTTTGGGGTGTATGAACACAGCGCTCAAGAAAGGGCCCTGCTATCTATGATGCAGGTTTTGAACCTCTGCCACTCCACCCAAATACTTCATGTAAAACAAGCTTGTAGACAGCAGCCACTGGCTCTCTGAGAAGAGTTTATCACCTTAAAAAAGTTATACTTGCCAAGAAAGAGAGACTAAATTAGACCATATTGTTTTATAGGCTGAAACCCTTTTACTGGGAAGGGACAACTTCCTCTGCACAGCAGTTTCTCCTGCTTGAAGCTGAGATCACACAGGGAGAAACCTATTGTGCTTCTGCCAAGTGACTGTGGGAATGCTGGGAAAGCACGCCCAGGAGCTGGCAGAGGCAGAGCCACCTTATCACCTCCTGCGATAAGCAGCCTGCTTTATCACTCTGACGAGAATTTCCCCTGAAATGGTCTCATCCATGGGTTTCCCCCCATGTTTCCCTTGGTAGTCAGATCAACACAGAACAGACTCTAGCTTCTCAATTATCATGTATGTTGCCAACCGTGACAACACCTTTATTATACTGAATTGTTCACTCAGGCTCCTTGAATTTGGCTGGAAGTTGAACAGTCCCGCGGGATCCTTTAGGTGATAAAATGATGCTGTGTTAGTTCCTTCCCAAGAACCTGAAGCTTCTGACATGCTCCACAGATACAACCTGGACTGCAGAACCTGATTCTCTTTACACAGGAACACACACACCAGTGCTTGGCCTTTTCTGGCGCCACAGGTGGGCAGGCAAGTTCAAAGTCTGGACACAGAGGCACTTCCAAAATTTGGCAAGAAAAAGGAGGCGAGTTCACCAATTGGGGCTTTATCACTGTGCTACGTGGCACGCGGACACAAACAGAGATCTTTAGGTTGTGGATGGGTCATGCTTTTTCTTCTTGCCCCGGCAGCACTTGCAGACACAACAGATTATACAGGGGGAGGCCAGGAGTAGCAAGGGTGAAGTCACCAAGGCAATGATGCCCAACCCCACAAGAATCCCAACCACCTGGAAATTAAGAAAGAAAGAAAAACTATTTTAGCAGTTGAATCTTCCTACATGTCTACTATACCATCAGCTATGGACTCAAAATTCCCACTGAAACCCTAATCCCCAATATAATGATGTTTGGAAATGGGGTTCTTTGGGAGGAAATTAGGACATGAGGGTGGAGCCCTCATGAAGGGATTAGTGCCCTTAGAAGAAGGGACACCAGACAGCTGGCTTCCTCTCTCTTCACCCTCTGCCATGTGAGAACACAATGAGAAGATGGCCATCTGTAAACCAACAAGAGAGTCCTCACCAGAACCCAACCTGAACCCTGCTGGCACCCTGACCTTGAACTTCCAGTCTCCAGACCCATGAGAAATAAATTCCCATTGTTTAACCCACCCAGTCTATAATAATTTGTTATAGCAGCCTGAACTGACTAAGACGCCATCTCAGACACATAAAACAGTCACAATTATGGAACATTTTAGCCAGTCCCCAGCAGTGGTCTGAACTGAATAATTCAGGAAGATACCAGACACTAAATCAAAGGTGAGAACAAACCAAATGCTAAGTCAGGCTCTGGCACGGGCTTAGTATAATCATGAAATGTTGGTGTTGGCTCTCTCTCTACCTGAGTTTCCTCAACAGCTTCATAGGGATGTTAATAATGATTACTAGGCTATTAACACTGGCTCCTTCAAAAGAAGCATAGCCTTTAATAAATATGAAACACTATTAAAAATAAACCATGGCTCCCTTTGAACCTGTCACATAATCACACAATGGCATGTACAGAGGGATCTAAGCCCCTGCAGGGGCTCATCAGGTTTAGAGCACTGCCTTTCATAGCAAATGCCCCATGAAGGGCTGTAGGAAAGTCATCCCACCATCTTTTTCAGGAGGAAAGAGCATCTGCCCTCATTCCGCAAATCACTGTTATTTACTTGGCTGCTCTGGTGCCCTGCTCCCCCACTTATCTTTAAGAGTATTGTGCTCATGAATTAACTCCAGGCAGTTGATCCATTACTTTTCCCTAGCCCTGCCCCAGAATTCCCCAGAACCTCCCGGGCTAGAATGGGTAAGCAGGAGTAAAGTGGGGAGGATGAACAGGCAGGTTTTCTAAGCCATTGTGAGTCTGGTGTATCTCATGCTCCTTTTAAGGTCAGAGTACCTGTGTTCGGTTCCATATCACTGAGGCTCTTGAGTGGCCAAGCTTATTCCGACATGGCCCTTTGTCGTAATGTCTGAGGAAAATGTCGTTCTGAAAAAAAAAGAGAAAGGTTTCGGTAAGCATGTAATTCTGAATTGAGAGATGGATACTAACTACATCAGATCACCTTAGTGGAAGCAAAGGCTCTTTCTGGTACTATTAATAACAGCTTCTAGGAATTCCAAGCCCATGATCTTTATTTAGACTCTATCTCAGTAGTTTTCTATATCACCAAGTGAAAACAGGATCATCAATGAGACTCTTGACTGAGTCTAATAGAGATCAATGGCCTGACCAATTATCATCAAAAGGTAGCTCTATCAGAGGTGTGATAGGAAATGAAAGGACCATGAGGGAGGCAGCTCAGAGATGGTTGTAGTAAACAAGGTGATAAAATGCCAGTGGTTGAGATGGAGAAGAGGAAATACAATCATGAGATATTAAGATGGGTAATTAACAGGTGGGGAAATAGGGAGAAATCGCACAATGAGGGGAAAGTCACTGGGTAGAAGGTAGTGGCTTTGTTGAGAGAAACACCAGAGAGAGGGATTTTGTTGGGAGGTGACGACCACAGTTTGGACATGTTGAACTTGAGAGATACTTGAGACATCCAAGCAGCACTGATCAAAAGGCAGTTGGTTACATAGATGTGAATTTGGGGGCAAAGACTTGGGAATAAGTGTACATGGGGTAGGAAAACCACAGAAGTAACTGAGATTACCCAGGGAGAGTGCAGACTGAGAGGCAAGCAGGCTGTTGAACACAACCATGTAAGAATGGATCAAGAAAGAGCCTGGAAAGGAAACTGAGAAGAGGCCAGAAATGTAGAAGGGAAACCTGAAGAGGTGGAAGGTGGTCAAGATGTCAAGGCAGCAGAGAATCTAGGTAAGATGAGGACTGAAGTGTTCCTTGGATTTTACCTAAAAGCAGTCACTCGAAGCCTTGGAAGAACACAGTCGGGGTGTGACTAAGTGGCAATCTGAGAGCGGCAATGACTGGAGGTAAGGAAGTGTCAACAGCTTGAGGTGAGTATGCTTTATTGGCAGCTGAAGGGACAAGAGAAATGGAAAGATGTAGACTTGAGAAAAGTGTTACATACCCACTTTTAAGTGGGACAGTTGAGAATGCATGGATAATTTAGAGACTAGAGAGTGGAGAGTGGATGCTGAAGTTGGAGGAGAGAGAAGAGATAACTGAAGGACAAGTTGCCAAGGTATCCAAAGCAGATTAAGAATGCCTCGTCCTCCCACTGGGGACTGGAACTATCTCAACTAAATTTTTTAGATCTAATTCATACTTTGAGTAAAAGACTTTTTTTCACATTCTCTTGATGTTAAAATTTAACCAGCATCAACAACATGCTAGAATAGGAGAGTATGTTCAAAGATCGATAGACTATAACTTTTCAACACTATCTCAAAGCCAACATAATTAAGAGCTTTGATTGTGAGTTTATCTTTTCTTAAACAATTAGATATTTTTAAGTAAGTAATCCACTATACATCTTCCTCTCACTGTGTTTTCTTTGTTTGGGGGGGAGGGGGAGGGTTAGCCTCTTTTCTCTTCATTGGCTGCCAGAATGTGCTTTCATAAAGGCTCAGTAGTGGCAGAAGACAGACAACTCATCTGGGATTTAACTACTGTGACTGACACATTCTTCTTGTCTGATGCTTTTTGTTAGGTAGTTTCCTTTAAGCTTCACAGATCCCCTGAGAGAGAGCCACTATTATTCCTCTATTTTTATTTTTTGTTAATCCTCACCCAAGGATACTTTTTTCATTGATATTTAGAGAGTGAAAGGGAGGAAGGGAGGAAGAAAGAGAAATATCGATGTGAGAGAGACACATCAATTTTTTAGAGCGTGAAAGGGAGAAAGGGAGGAAGAAAGAGAAATATCGATGTGAGAGACACATCAACTAGTTGCTTCCTACATGTGCCCCAATCGGAGCCGGGGATTGAACCTGACACCCAGGTATGTGCCGTTGACCGGGAAATGAACTGGTGATGAGTCACACTGGCCAAGACTATTATTACTCTTTTAAGATGCAGTCATTGTGCCTAGTCACCTGGTGGGGAGAGGCAGAGCCAAGAGTCAAGTAAAGTGCTCCTCTACCCCACCAAGGTGCCCCAGACCTTCTCCGATGTCAGTGGGCTGATCTTATGAGCTAATTGATCGTGGCAAATGCCATACGCAATCTTTCCTGAGGCCATAGGAGGGCTTCCTGCAGCTGGGATTTGTGTGGGGTGTTGCCTAGGTGGATACCACTCAAAGTGTGGTCCTCACTCCATCAGCTTCACTGTCTTAGAAACGCAGGTTCCCGGGCCCACTGCAGACTTCTGACGTGGGGCATGGTATCTATGGTTTAACATACTTTCCATATGTTTCTGATGTTCACTATAATTTTAGAACCACTACTTTAGAAAATTTAGTTTAGAATGGCATTTCTCAAACTGTGTTCCACGGGGAACTAGTGTCCTGGGATCCAGTGGTGGTTCTGGGTGTTCCCTGGCAAGATTAAGTGAGTTTGGGAAAGCTGCATCTAGAAGGGGTAGAGTGTATGTTAGTATGTCTGTGGAACCTGTTTATTTAACCTAGCGAGTTAAAGAAACACATTAGATTATGGATATTTGGGGGGGCAAGTTCCCTTGCCAAAGTTTCCAGGAGATACTGGTCTAGGCTGAAGTGACCTTCAGGACAGCTCAAGGGTACCCTTCCCTCCCGGTGAGCAGTTAGAAGGTGGTAGTGTTAGTACTCAACTTTGACAATTCACGTCTGCCATGAAGCTGTGATGAAGTTTTAAGGTGACACTGGCAAGTACAACCAAGTAGATGCCAAACTCGCTGAAACACACATTATATGAAATAAGTACTTTTTATTCTAGAATTAGAATAGAAATTACTGTGTCTTCTTAAATGAGATTGTTTTCAGAATAGCATTACAATGACCTTACAGAGCACTTGATAAAGTGTTAAGGGAGCATAAGAATGACATATATTCATGGATTTTCAGTCACTGTGTGAGATTTTGACCTTTTTCATTTTCCAGTTCAGGACTTTTTCCCTCCTATATCTGAAATGACTGTAAAATAGATTTTTGTGGGAATTTTAAAAACTATCAAAACACTTTGGGGGCATTATAAAGACCCATCCACAGAAGTATATATGAAAGCACACAAAACGCTACAGGTTTCACTGATTTTAGTGCTGCTATTAAGTTATTCAATTTTTGCTTGTCTCATGATTAACCATTTTTAAAGTTTGTACAAAGGTAACAAAGTATTATTTTTAAGATTCATAAAGGGAAAACTGTAGGACAATCAGAGGTGAAGAATTAGAATTCTGTCTTTTGTATGTTTCTCATCTGTACTCACTTCCTGCGCTGGCTTTTGTACTTGAGCGTTTTTTCTTTACAAATGCTCTCTCACCACTCTGAAGTCTGCTGACTGTACCCTTAAACATGCTTATGGTATTCTGCTCGTTATGGAAAAAGGAACATTTTATAAGTTTGTGCTCTGCTAACTGTCGATATTTATTACTCTATGAGCTATCTATTTTTGTAACCACTGTGGTCTATCATATCTTACTAATGGTAAAAGGGAGGGCGATATCCAGAAGAGAAGCTTAATTTGCACAATTTCAGACAATCTGTGAATGTGAAAACTATACTGTTGCTCTGCTATAACCCAATCTACTATAATGTGGAGAAATTATCTACCTTGAAATTCATCCTAGCAGGTGGAGTTGAGCTAAACTCCTTCTGGTTTTCCTTTGAACTCTAACTATAACAAGGCCCCATGGCATCGGCCCAAGGAGAGGTAAGATGCCAATGTGCAAAGGGCCCTTTAGTTTTTCCATTAATTCTAATATAAGAGACTTTTTTTACTTACATGTATATTTGTTTACACACTATAGGTGGGTATCATTGAAAAGCTTGGTTTAATACACATTTAAACCGCCCCCAAAAGAAAGAACACCTAGCTTTATGCAGTGACAGGAATACCTCATCCTCTGAAACAGCAGGGATGAGGATCAAGGCAGGAACACCCTCAATGCCTGAGAAAAAGTCAAAATCACTGTTTGGTGTCTGTCTAGGGACTGGATTTTTGACAATCACCCTTCTCCTAGACCCATGCTCTACAACTTTCCTATAAACAAGGATCAACACCACATGTGACATGGAACACTTGCCTACAGAAAAACATCGTTACCAACAAGGCAATGCCCCTGGCTAAAACCAAGAACATGAGATCGCAGAGAACAATGACCAGAAAACAATGCTGTGTATCCAGCCACCTGGCATCTGTGCCGTTTAGTCTCTGAGTCCTGGAATAGTCAAGTGATGGAACAGTGTGTTCTTGCAACTCCACGCCACAAACACATTTCGGCCAGAGGATGGAGAGATCTGGTGCACACATTTATCCCCTTATATTCTGGCTTCCTAAAGAGAACCTCATGGGCTCAGCCTGCTTGTGGATCTGAACCCAATTAATATTCTGGTGAAATCTGGAGGAAAACAAAAAAAAAAGACTTCTCCCATTTGTAAAGCTGAGGGGTGTACAATCCATCAAATCCTCATCTAGAATAGCACTCCTCTGGATTTATAAGAGGTCTCCACTATCAAACTTACTGGTAATTCAAGGATTATAATAGAATTGTTTAAAAGAATGAAAACATTTCTCTCAACCTGAACTGCTAAGCTTCTAGAGGCTAAGATGTCAATTTTCTTCTCCCCAATTTATACCTCTTCTTGAAACACTGACATAAAACTGATTAAGATAACTTGCTCATAGATGTCATTCTAAACAACTTATCGAATTTTCAGTTAACACCCAGGCACATGGGGGCCAGCATGCATGCTGTATCAACTGCACGCTCACTCTGCAACTGCGTATGATACTGAAGCACTACAAGACTTGCTTATTGAATTGAAGCAAACTGGGCAATTAATATGGACAACTGGGAAAGAATGCCACCCACCCATGACTGAGGGCTTACACTGACATGCACATATTGTATAGGTCCAGACTGCCCAAGTTGGGAATACCTGTAAACTACGTAGGCGGCCTTAAACTTTAAAACACTGTAATTGAAAACAGTAGGATGAATTCTCAACAATCCTTTACATCATCTTTTAACTGAGGTTATCACTAGCCTTAGCACAGGACTGAATGAAACTCCACCTGAATTTGAGAAGACATGCTTCATGAACGGTTAGGAAATAGAACAATGAGACCAAACCTCTTTGTCTAGAAGGGAACCATGACGAAACAGGAGCAATACCTCTGTCATGCCAATGAATGGGACAGTTACCTGAGAGACACCATTGATTTGAATGGCTTTTTTCTTTAAATTCAAAGAGGAAAACAACCTATTGGCAGTAGGCAGCACAATTGCTCCCCTAAAGATGCCTATGGCATTTCCCCAGAACTTGTGAAAATGTTACCTTACATGGCAAAAGGGATTTTTCAAGTGTGTTGAAATGAAGACCTTGAGATAGGGGAGATTGTCCTGTATTGTCCAGATGGACCCAATCTAATCTCACTGGTCCTTAAGATAGAGAAGCTCTCCCAGCTGTGGTCAGAGGCAATGACTCCGAAAGCTATGACTATAAAATAAGGGTCAGAGGGATGTGATGTTGCAGCCTGTGAAGATAGAGAACGAGGCCACGAGCCAAGGAATGCAGGCAGCCTCCAAGAGCTGGACAAGGCCAAGAAACGGATTCTTCCCTGCAGCCTGCAGAAGGAATGCAGCCCTGAGGACACCTTGATCTTAACCCAGTGAGACCCACATTCGACTTCTAATGTTCAGAGTTAAAGATAAGTTGGTGTCATTTTCAGCCAAAATTTTGTGGTAATTTTTTAGAATAGCAACATAAAACTAAGACACTAATAGTCCTTTACATAATAGAATGAAACAATGCCCCCAAAGCAGGAAATATCCCTAAAACAAAAGCTTGCCTTTTAAAGCAAAGGTGACAGGTGTTATGGATATCTAAAGTAGCGGGCTCAGGAAGTCTCATTAAGAAAAATTATTTTTTTGGCAGGACAAAAGTAGGCTCAATATTTTGAAAGGAAAGGCTGTAGGACACTGGCTGTTGCACAGGTACAGGATTGAGAAAGATGCGGGAGAGAGTCTTCCACGTGGAACTTACATCCAGGTTCTGCAGACAGTACCAGCAAAACGTGTGCTTGCAGTTCTTGCACATCATCTGAGCACAGCCTTCGTTGCGTTCGATATAAACCCGGCAAAATGGGCACTGCTTAATGGGGGCGTCTGCATCTGTCCCAACAAGGGCCCTAGAAACACAGTGGATGAGAAATTATTGGGTGGGGATGGAGAATGCTGCCTGATTTTTTTAAAAGCCAGGACCACAAGGGTGTACACTAACCAGACCTATGGTAAGAATAAGCTATGGTAAATATAATGGATAAATATTGCCCTTCTAACTCAATTTTATGGCCAGCAATTGGATCTCCTAAGGCTCCTGATGTTTAGGTAGTGAACTCTTTGTAATCTGTGCTTAATTCACCCCCCAGGGAAAAGGGTGGGGGTAAAAATTGGTGTGACAGAAATTATTAGTTGTTCGGATAACTCAAAACAAAACCAAAAAATACCTTAATTTATTTATCTTTGGCTTTGAGTGGATTATATCGTCGTATTTTCCACAACTGATTCAATTCATTATTTTGCCCAATTAGTATTTCATTCTCTGAGCACGCACTGAATAAAAAGTGCAAGAAGTCTGCTACACGACAGAAAACTAGCTCAGGATCTGACGGGGCATAGATAATCCATCTAATAAGCTGTTCAAATAAACAAATGAAAGAGGCTGTGGGGAGTCAATAATCAATACTTTAAAGTAGATGCCCAATGTCATTGAAAAGACCTGCTCCAAACAAATGGATAGGCCAATACAGGGTCACAGCTCAGAGGGACATAGAAAAGAAGGGGAGGGTGGGTGTGGCAGGGAACACTAGATGAGCTACAGAACTGGGCAGCCCTTCAGCTACTGTTCATCAAAACTGACACCCAGCCCAGAGACACCCACTTCACAGTGTTGTAAAAACTCTGACAGAATTTGGTGCTCACAATAACCTCATAGAGCAGTGGGACAGCTACTATTTTAATTATCTCCCCCCCGCCCTTTTTTTTTTCAAATAGAGAAACATCCCATAGGGTCTGAGTAGCTTGCATGAGGTCACATGGATGCCAAGTGACAATGTCAGAATTCAGTCCTTCTCCCTCTGGGATCTTTACATTGCCCTGTGACACCCGGGACCTTACTGTGGTGGCAGTGAAAATGGAGGTGGCACTGGCTAAAAGGGCACATGCCTGCCCTGTGTACTGGATCTGTTTTCCCTCTTGATTTGTTTGGTCTGAGATTCAAGCACAGTGTCACAGCCAGGTAGCACTGCTGTGCCTGAAGAATGGCTCTACACATTCTCAGGGCGCTGAGGGCTAAGCCAACTGGACTGCAACACTGGCATTTCTGTTCTTGCTGGTGCAGAACAGCCATAGCCTCAAGCAAAGCACGGGATCAAACACAAAGGTCTCTCACTCCGGGCCCTGTGGCTGCCATAAAACCCTCCCTACTGAAAGGTACAGATTTAATTGCTTCTCATCATAACAGAATCTCAACCTTGGCACCACCTTTTCAAAGCATCAAGTAGTGAGAGATAAGCTCTTTTCCTCTAGTACCTAGGCATTTTTAGCACTGCTCTATACTGAAGGCTGTTTCTGCTGCTGTCTTCTCTCTGCTGTGATTGGCACGCCTCAGGAGCTGGCAATTTAGATAGGGGAGAAAATAATTTCTGCACACTTTGCAATCCGGAAGAATGAGGTATGTCCATAGCTGGCGGGCCTGATATTAAGCAAATGGCTGTGAATAAGCTAAGACTTCCAACTGAGAACCAGTGGACCACATGACTCTCTAACTACAGGGAAATCAAAACTCTAATTTCAGCAGTATCTGAAAGATGCTCCGGGGTAAATAACTAAAATCCCTCTAGAAATGCTTTTGTGGGTTAGTCTTTGTTAACAACTTGCCAGTCTTGAGACACTTCTCAGAAAGTGCTGCAGGCAAATCATGAATCTCTAAATTCCATCACAAGGTAACTCCTCCTCCAAGCAATATATTTTGTGTTTCTGAGGAAACTAGTGAATAATCCCAAATACCACATTTTTGTTCTTACCCGTGCTCTGTTGGCAAGACGATAGGCTGACTGTCTCTACAGGAGACCTCGGCGTGCCAAGCATCCTTGCAACATGAGCAGAACTTCAGGTGGCAGGAAGGGCACTCCACCAGCACAGGCTGTCCTGGGTCACCTGACACAACGGGGCACACCGTCTGACAGTCTGCGACGGGGCACCACGTTCGGTAGGGGTCCAGGTGAACTTCTAAAGTGTAAAGAAAGGGAATGTGATGGTCTCTCTGTCTTGCATTCAAACTCAAGGCTTTCTCCCCTTCATTTCTTCTCTTTTACACGCTAACATTTATGGAAGCTTAGGACAACCAAGGGCAGTGATTTGTTCACAATGGATTCAAACCTAAAAGGTCAGTCAGCCCTGCCACATTTCCCTGAGTAGGTGCTAATGGAATAGGTCACCATTGCCCTTATCTCTATATATAAATAAAAGCCTAAGCAACCGTTACGACAGAATGACCAGAATGACCGGTCGCTATGATGTGCACTGACCACCAGGGGGCAGATGCTCAATGCAGGAGCAGCCCCCAGCCCACAGGCCCCGATCACCGATGGGGCCTGCCGGCCAACCTGCTGGTCCCTCCTCCTGGCCAGCAGGTCCCAGACTGGGACAGGGAACCAGGGGTGGGTGGAGGCGGACGCGGGCAGCAAGAGAAGGAGGAGGGGGGGAGGCAGGGAACCTGATCAGCTCTGATCGCCAGCCAGGCCTAGGGAACCCACCCGTGCAAGAATTTCGTGCACTGGGCCTCTAGTAAATAGATAAATAGTGTCATTAACCAAAATTTGCAACTGTTGGACTACTTCCCACCTTTCAGCACTCAAGATAGTCAAAAATCTCAAGTATCATCTAAAATTAATTTAGGTGCTATCTTGGAGGAAACTGGACATGAAGAACCTACCAAAGCAAAAGAAAAAAATGCATAAAAGATTTTGTCATTTCAGGCACTCAGAATAGGTAGTGAGGTTTCTTCTGCTGTTTAGAGAGAAATTAAAGAATAAGGAATAATCACATAATTTAGGGACCAAATGATGACTTAGCTAAAAGGTCAGATTGGCTGTCAATTTGAATCTTCTTGCTGCCCTACCAATATATCACTTAGAAAACATTTGTAAAAGACCCACATACTCTAAAAACCAAAGGTAGGGACTTTCACAGACTAAAAAATGTCAGGTACCTCATCAGTTAGATCCATGAGGCATGCAGGAGAGAAGACGGGGTTGGGGGATGGATGACTGTTTACAAATGTCTACAAATCTTGTTCAGTTTTTCATTTTTTATATAATAACAGACTCCATGTTGTTGTTATATAACATGACCTTCAGGGAACATATACATGAAAAATGTGTTATTTGAAGGGTAGAATAGCCCCTTTTTTTCTGAACCAATGTACAGGGTGTGACAAAAGTAGGCTTATAGTTCTGAGTATGAGGACCACAGAGTTTATTCTTGTGTTATTTGTTATTATATTATTTCCCATATGAACAATTATAAATCTACTTTTGCCCCACCCTGTATTTTGCAAATTTTGAACTGATGAGATTCTAGTTTTCAATCTCCTAAGGACTGTGATTTTTAAAAAATATATTTTATTGATTTTCCACAGAGAGGAAGGGAGAGGGACAGAGAGTCAGAAACATCGATGAGAGAGAAACATCGATCAGCTGCCCCCTGCACACCCCCCACTGGGGATGTGCCCATAACCAAGGTACATCATGCCCTTGACTGGAATCGAACCCGGGACTCTTCAGTCTGCAGGCTGACGCTCTATCCACTGAGCCAAACCGGTTAGGGCAGGACTGTGATTTTTGAAAATTTCCACCCAGGAGGCAAAGAAACCCAAAGGGAGGTGCAAAAAGAAAATGAAACTATTAAGTATGAGCTTGGTTTTAAAGGTAATAATTTTACAAATTCAGTACCAGAGGGGAAAAGTCCAGTCAACACTGTCACCATTAATGTCTTGCCTAGAAAATGTAACAATTGGATCTATGCTTATTATAGGTTTTCATCAAAAAGGGCATCCTTAAACATATTTTCTTATTTAATTCTGGGGGACAGGGATTGGAGCCTGATGGGCCAAATATAATCAGAAATGGGAAACCTATGATTCATAGATCCTCAGACCCCAAGAGAGATGGGCCGTCTAAGATCCCTAAAATTTTGGGACAGGCTGGTTAGAAAACCAAGGGGATAATGACACACAGGCGTTCCAAGGTCTTACCTTGTATGTCCATACCATTTATATTTTCATCCAAACTCTTATAACTGTTTCACAAATACTAAGCCCAAAGAAATGTAGGCTGGTATATAACTTAGATCTAAGGACTCCCGGATCAAATATCCACTCACCATCCATTTTAAATCATAGGTCTTTTCAAGTCTGATGACAGAACCATGAATAAGCAGCCAACCTACACATGGTTTTGATCTGAAAGCTTTCCAACTTTTACCCAAATAATGCAAAAAAAGAGAGATTTACATATGTAATAAAGCAGTCCAACTTGACAAGGAGCTAAGTGAGCAGAGGGAGAGTCACAGGAGATTACTTGGGAATAGTAGTCAAGGGCCTGATCACCGATTATGATGATAAGGGCTAAGCAAGATGAGGAGCCATTGAAGGATGTGCCCATAAGGGAGGGCCATGATATGATCCCCATTTGTAGAAGATTACTCTGGCTACCTTAGGAAGAATAGGTGCTAATAGCACAAAGTGGCAACAGAGAGATCTATTATGAGGCTATAGTAGTCATATAACCCAAGGTGATACACTGGGTTATATAAAACCTGGATTACATAAAACATTCTTTATTACTATTATGGTAAATTCAATTCTACCTCCTGGCTTTTGGCCTAGGAAATAGTAATTATGCAGAGAAACAAAATGCACCCTATCCAAAACACTGAAGGTCTAGTTTCTTCCCCCTTCAAATTTCTTTTCCAGAGTTGGCCAAAAAAAAAAAAAAAAAAAGTGAACTAATGAATATTCAACTAATTTCTTCTGCACTGGTAGTGATGAACACTTCTTGTTGCTTTGAGATGGAGAAATGTTCAGAAATCTAGAAAGAGAGAAACCAGGAGTCTGCATAAATCAGCCCCTAACAGTGCCCCAAACATTTTAATGAACATGATTTCAAAGTGATTCATTGTAACATATTTACCATCAGAGATGGACAATTCACAGACTTGCACTGGAGTGCACTTAGGAAAATGACGATGGATTACTGAAGTAAAGCCCCATGACTGTTGGATCCTAAGACTCTGCTTGTTCATGCAATTTTTGCAAGGCAGGAAATGCTATTTAAACTGCTTTCTACTTCTGTATTCCGACAATTATTGGGAAGTAGAAACATTCTAAGAAAATAAAACTGCCATGAGACCTAAAGACCATATCTGACATCAATAACCATTTTCACTTCTCAAAAATTGAGCTCAGGGCCCTTTGGTTTTCCCACCTGAACTATGCCACATATGTAGAGTTTGTTTCTTACTCTGTAGCATATTCTCTCAACTCACATGAGCGGTTTCTCTGCCATCCTCTACATTTGTGAGGCTGTGCCCATAAAGACATCACATGAGTTTTTATTATTGTGGGGAACACCATGCCCCCAAGCTAATTTAATTACCAGCTGAAATAAATCAAACTGTTTTAATTTTTATGACCCACTGCATTTTTAATTATGCCAAAGTTAATTTGCTTTCTGATATCTCATAGAAAAGGTTTTCGGAAGATAGTTAAAATGCAATTGAATTAAACTGATCAGAATTAACATCTGCTCCAGGAAATACACTCAAGCAGAGGTGGCCATCAGCACAGGGGTTGCTCTCAAGATAGTTGAAGACAACCACAGAATTTCAAACTTGGAAACAACTTTTTAGATTACCTAGTACCCACAGAAGTTAGGAGTTTGTGTAATGGGGTTAATGAGTATATGATGGGGTCAGGCCTTTTTTAACTCCTAGAATACCATGAACTATAATCATGCTACTAAATAGATTTTAATTCCCACTATCACCATGGGAACATTTTCTCTTCAAAGCAGCAACTTAGAAGGCTTCATCTCAGCAAGTCATGATCTCCTTGGAGGAGTCAGAGAAAGGGGATTCATGCTTATAGTAACAGCATACTGTAGGGAGAAAATGAATATGATAAGGTGGTGTAAATGGATTAGCACTGATTATCAAATTTCTATACAACTCTCTAGAATCTAGGACGACGAGCATGGAAACATGCTGGGAAAAATTGGGACTAAGTTGAAAAGAAAACAGAAGTATAGTTATTAATTACACTATACACTCAGCCCAAGGTATGATTCTGGAAGAAGCTTTCTTATTTTAGTTCAGAAAACTGGGGGAAAGGGAAGATTTAGTGGTGGTAGTGATCAATAACGACAACAATAACAATAGCTGTGATAATTTACTGAATGCACACTGTGACCAACACACAATAGTTACTCATTCTCTACAGCAGCCCCATGATAATCATTCCATTTTATCCCCATTTTATAGGTGAGGGAATAGAAGTGTGCACAGGAAGTGGCACTTAACAATGTGCCTCTCCTTCGAGACCCCTTTAGAAATCTCATCCTACATGCAGATAAATGTCTTTCCTGCAGATAGTTTAGATTTTCCAAAGAAAACTGAAACATCGACAGGGTGCTATTTTAGATTTAAAACTGGTCAACAAGAAAGAACTGGATGGTAAAGTAGAGGAATCGTGAAGCTGAGAAAGTGTTATCACCAGAAAGCACAGACTAGCTTAGGAAGGAAACCCTAGACTTAATCATTCACTTACAACAAAACACCAGAAAGGCAGGCTCACACACATACACACACACACACTCTCCCACACACACACACCCTCCCACACACACACAATAAGAACAGGCTTGTGATCAAAAACTATAAAAAGGAAGATGACTAATGAGAGATGGGAGGTGTTAAAAAAAACAAAACACTGAACTAATGATAAGGTCATTAAGTGTCACAGTCTTAAAAAAAAAAAAAAGCCCTAGGACATCAAATAACCACACAGGGAGCTCTGGTAAGACAAAACCTTACTGCTCAGGCACAAAAGATGGGGTGGGAGCATTTCACCAAGGACAAATAAAAGAGTGAGGTGAAACCTGAAGAGCCATATCATAAATGTTATGACTAAAATGAAAGGAGGCTTGTGAAAAATGCTGAGAACAAGAGGGCTTTCAAGGAAAGATGAAAGCAGCCTCTGGAACTGCACTTGGTACTTAGTGCATAATAGGTGCTCACTACATAAAAATGTAGGTATTGACTATCTGAGTGAATAGGACAGGATTAGCAGGATTAAAGGAAAACAAATCCTTATTTTACTTCACTTTTTTATAAAGAAGAACAATCTGGCGCTTAAAATGTTTGTTTCTAACCACTATATAATAATATAACTAGCCAAGAATAGACACCTTAACCTATCAAGGAACTAAAGGAACTTGGAGTTATAGTAAGTAAAACAGGGTCACAAAAATAGAAAAGGTCCTTAAGGACTAGAGATGGATAATCTTAACCCAATTTTTGAAAAAATTCTTTTGAAAAAGTAGATTCTGGAAGCAAGAGTAAAGCAAAATTCTAGCATTAATCATCAGACATGTGTTTTGAGAAGCAGTAGAAAGTAAAGCAGTAAAAAAAAAAAAAGTAAAGCAGTAATCACTAGCACATGCCAAACTCAGTCCCTAATATTGGAAGACTGACACAGAAAGGGAAAGCCACAAACACAGCAATAGCCAATGGAAAGTCATGGATGGATGCAAAGTGGATTCACCGAATAACCGATCAATTCCAAATGGTGTTTCTCTGCTTTGTATAAACAGAAGTGATTTGGACCCATTCAACAGATTTTTTTCCTCACAAAGACTTAGTCAAGTGTAAAGTGAAGTAGAGGACAGTTAAAACACAGGATGATGCCTGGCGGTGTAACTCAGTGGTTGAGCGTTGACCTATGAACAGGAGGTCAGGTTTGATTCCAGGTTAGAACACATGCCTGGGTTGTGGGCTTGATCCCAGTAAGGGGCATGCAGGAGGCAGCCAATCAATGATTCTCTTTCATCACTGATGTTTCTATCTCTCTCTCTCCCTCCCCACCTCTCTGAAATCAATAAAAATGTATTAAAAAAAAAAAAGAAACACAGGATGACAAACTAAAAACTGAGAAAAGAACTTGGTATGCAATAAGAACTGGACAAAACTAACAATCATTTTTATAACCAAGACCTCAAAATTGCCTAGCTGATAAATCTTTCGTTTGAGATGAATATGAAGTATATTATGTAACAATGACACATGTACAACGTAGAAAGAGTACCCCAATCAAGTAAACTTCATTGTGTAGCACTGAATTAACTTAAATTTACTTAAAATGTCTATTTTCTAACATAATTATTCCTCCTTGTTTACATTTTAGGGATATACTAATTAGCTAAAATGCCTTTTTATAAATACACAAATGGGTGAAATAGTAAATTTTATGTTAGACATATTTTACCCCAATAAAAAAACTATAGAATTTTTAAAAGTTTTATAGGTGAGGAAGCTTAGACACAGTCTATGTGATCCTAGGCAAGTTTCAACCTCTTCAATTGTAAGTTTCTCTTTCTCTAAAATAGGAATAATGAAATCAATTGTCAATTCATGGGAATCTCTTACGGGGCATCTGCCTAGAACTTGTGAGAAAAAAGAAATTCCATGTATGAGTAAAACTCTGTGGTCCTCTTAAAATGCCTCAAAGCAGAGATGTGCAAGAGCACCTATAAAAGACAGTTTGGCTACAAAGCCCGCCCAACTTGATTGTAACCAGACTGAATACATTATCATAGCTAATGAAGAAATAAGCCAATCACAAGTAGGGATGAACACTACAAGAGCATCCAAAAGTCCCAGGCACTAAGCAAAGTCTGTCGACATCTATCCATGCGCTTTTTGGGGAAAAGTGAGTCTTGGCCAATGATTTTTCATGTGTGCCTCACGTAGGGAAGGTTATTCCTGCTGTAAAGATGGATGTGGCTGTGAAATGCATATTAGCCCCTCCCCTTTCATCTCTCTCTAAAATCAATAAAAACATATCTTTAAAACCCAATATAAGGAAAGTTCTATTTCCTGCGAGTCTGTATTTTTTCTGGCTGTGGCTGAGAAAGTTGAAATTGTGTATTGCAATTACAGTTTTTCCCTTTCCATGTACCCTCGTGGCTTTGTTGACAGCCCGCAGCTGCCTTAGCCTTCCATGCAGGTTAGTGGGAAGATGACAGGTGTAAAACCACATTTACCATCGGGTTAAAAAGAAGAGGGCATACATACCTCGTTCAAATTTTAACCGCTGATAAAGCTGAAATTGATCCACAGGTACCAAACAGGCAATCTGAAACCAGACACATGATAAAGATGAGATTTCAGTCATTGCAGAGGCCCAAGTTACCAGCCTTATAATTCCTCCTTGTTTGGCTTACTGTATTATCTCTCTACAAATTAGTTTGCAAATGTCTTTGGCGCAGCAACACAAGCAGCAATCCCTGAGTCATCCCCAACCATCTGCCAGGGCTAGGAGTCGCTCAAGGCACCAGTTACAGAACTGATTGATCACCTTCCATTCTTCAATCAGCAGCTACTAAGACCAAACAATGAAATCTTTCGACTTCCCGAATTATTTGTGTGCATATGTGAAAGATGCTCTTTTTCTCTTTAGATTCATTTAAGACATTTTTAAAAGATTATAGTTCTAGCTTTAGAATCCTTAAATACTAAAGTCAGAGAGATAGTGAGTCAGGAAGTATGAAAACTTCATTTGTTGCCTAAGGAATAGTACCTTCTAAGCAACGTACAAATCACTTCTCCTGACAAAGATCATTTTAAGAGGCCCTTGATTATCATGCATCGCCATCCATGCCCTGGTAGAAAAGAAAGGCCGAAGATGTTGCTTGTGTCTAGGCTCCCATTTCCATTTCTGATAGCAATGTGGACCCAAGGTTCATAAATAAGGATTCATAGCTAACCAAAGAGCACTGCAGATTAGTTACTTTTAAGTTGCATTTCAAAGTCAGATGCAGGCAAAGCTAACTGCTCTTACTGTGGCATTCTAAAAAATAGCAATACCATTGATGTCAACATGTAAATATTTTGATATGGCTTAAAATATTTATAACTGAAAAAATCTAAGAATTTGATACAGGACACACCTTGGCAATTTTGACTCTAAAGTACTGCATATTTTTGGTTAAAACATATGTTGGTGAAAGGTCTTGCAACTAATGGAAAGAAGTGTGCTTTGAGAAAACCGGAGTAAAAAAATGAGGCAGCTAAAATTGTACTTAACAAATATAATACATTTTAGAAGGCATTCAAAGTCAAATTCTGCTCCTCACAAAAATAAACAACACATTCATTTATTTTGTAAATGAATCAACTTTAGTTAAATATATGAAGAGCCACCAAACAGGTAAGTTCTGTCTTCTCCATTTTAAGTAGAGCAAAGTAAAACATAAATTTAATTTCATTATAAACTTTTGCTCCATTTGTGAGCGGGGGAGGGGAGAGAATGTTGCATTTTCACCTGGCACTTTAAGTAAAACCTCCTTAGCAATCACTAAAAAATTATGGTTAATTTTATGAGTCTTTTACCATATATTTTGTTAAAGTATGTTTACATGTTTATTCTACTGAAAGTCAGTTTTGTTTCAACTGTTATAATACTACCTGGACTTCTTTCCTAAAAGACAAAGGTACCTCAAATAAAATGCATTTGGAGACAGAAGTTGCAAGCAAGTGAAAGAGTGGGAGGCATTCGGGGATCAGAGTTTAGTTACTGACTTAGTCAATGATTCATTTTAGGTGGAGGACAAATAATCTAATACTACTTTAACTTTTGGGCCAAGGTAACTTGGGAGATGATATCATCTGGGCCCAAGAGACCTCAGTGATATTCTATAAATCTATTTTTAAACCCCTCCCCCCTTTAAGTGATTTGAGGTTTTAGATTCTATGGGACAGTTCTATACTCTTCTTACACCTTCTATAACTGTTTCTGGACTGATGAAGACTTTCTTCAAACTCCTCAAAATCAACCCTTAAAAATGCTTATTTTTTCAATGACAAGCAATTTATATAACAGCTAAGTCAATAACAGTTTATAAAAAGACAAAGCAAATAGGAGGAGATAAATATTTTAAATACAGAAGGAATGCTACTGTGAACAATGACCAAAATCAATGCAGTAAGAAGTCAACAATAGTAGAGCTGGATGTTTAATGTTAAGTTAGAAAGACAAATTTCACCAGAGGACATATTACTGCCAGCAGGAAAGTCAGAGGTCTCTAATATTTTTTGTCTTTCACTCTACTTTGAATCTCTTATTTATTATTTTTTAGGTTCGAGGTTTGTATGGAATTAAGCCTTAATAAGGTAAATCAATTTTTCTATTGAACTCTGTGATCACACAAAGTCAGGTCTATCACTTTTCACTATGTTTGATACTTCTGGAATAAAGAGAAGCCCCAACATACACCATTCTCTCCCCATCCCTGCCACTTAGACTTGCATCTTCTCCAGGGACTTGTTGACAGTCTATTATGGCTGGAAGCCTGGGGATACAAATGAACAAGCGGACATAGAAGCTGTCCTCAAAGGACTTAAATTACTGAGGGGGGGAGGGCAATAAAGTTTTAAGAAAGATCTACTCCTTGATCTTATCATTTGTTATATTTCACAGATAAGAGCTAATTTTCTGAAATGTTTCTATCACACTTTTGGCTTTAGATGAGAGAAAGCTGGGTTAGATTTAAAAAAGATTAAAAGATGATGATCCAAAGTATTGAATTCCCATTCCCTTGCCATTTGGAACTAAGTCGCTATTGCTCAAGGTCTGTCACAATTATAAAACTGAAATAAATGTTTTAGTATGGTTATTGAAGGCTCCATCAGGCAATAGGTTAAAGGGCTACTCCTTTTTTAAAAAATATATTTTTTTATTGATTTCAGAGAGAAAGGGAGAGGGAGAGACAGAAGCATCAATGATAAAAGAGAGAATCATTGATCAGCTGCCTCCTGCACGCCCTCTACTGGAGATCGAGCCCACAACCGGGCATGTGCCCTTGACTGGAATCGAACCTTCAGTCCGCAGGCCGACGCTCTATCCACTGAGCCAAACCGGCTAGGGTGGGCTACTCCTTTTTAAAAAAAAATTTTTTTAAGGAATCACAACGCCTCTAAAATTAATTGTGAAAATGAAAATCCTAGAGAATAAGAGATTATAAAAGGTATCTTGTGGTATAGAATTATCCTTTTCCTGCCAACCAAGAAATTCCAAATCACTCAAAAATCATACCAGGACATTCCTTTTTAACTTTATTTTGAAATAATTTTAGGCTCACAAAAAGTTGCGACAATTATATAAAGTTCCTAAAGACCCATTCCCCCAACTTCTCCTAATGTTACTAGTAACACCTTACATAATCATAGTTAATTATTAAAATAATAAAATTTTCATTGATACAAAATAATTAAACAATCTGTAGGCCTTATTCAAATTTCACAAACTGACCCACAATGTCTTTTTTTTTTTTTTTTCAGTCCAGATCCAATTTAGGACATCACCTTGCATTCGGTTCCCTTGTCTCCTCAGCCTTCTCTAATCTGGGGCAGTTCCTCAGTCTGTATTTGTCTTTCATGACCTTGACATGTTTAAAGAGTCCAGGCCAGTTATTTTGTACACTGCTCTCCAATTCGGCTTCGTCTGATGTTTTCTCATGATTAAGTCAAGATTATGCATTTTTGGCAAGAACATCACAGAAGTAATATTGGGCCATCAGGAGGTAAATGAGGACAACCTGTCTCATTACTGGTGATATTAACTTTCTAACTTGGTCAAGGTAGTATCTGCTAGGTTGCTCCACTCTTTGTAATATTATAGGGAGACTAGAGGCCCTCATCCTGGCCTGCGGGGATTGGGCCAAAACCGGCTCCCCAACACCCCCCGAGGGCTCCTGGATTGCGAGAGGGCGGTTCTCAGGTGATGCACCCTGGAATCAGGCTCCCTCCTCTCTGGTTCTGGGTGCATCACCAGAGAACCGCCGCTGCCAAGTGACTGCAGCTCAGCAGCTCCTGCATTGAGCGTCTGCCCCCTGGTGGTCAGTGCACGTCATAGCTACTGGCCAGTCAGCCAGTTGCTTAGGCTTTCATATATATAGATATTTTGAGATTCTGCAAATATGTTTCTCATCATACCTCTGGCAACTAATTTTGTATCTATCAAAAACTCTTACCTACTATAATTATTACTGTGCTTATTTGCTTAATGATGATTTTCTATATCCATCTCTATTTGTTCATTAGAATTCTGCTATAAGGAAGAAATATTATAAATACAACATATATTTTCTTTTAATGAAATGGTTAAAACCCAGAAGCTAGGGAAAGCCAGGAGGAGGTAAAAAGCCCAGACTTTACTTAGGTTTGGCCCTTTAAATTATACCTCTGCTACAGTTGCTTTTAAAAATTAAAAAACCAGGTTGAACATGAAATACAACGGATCACTATATCTGGAGATGGAATTGACCTCTTGTAGATCATTACAAATCTTGAGGTGCTATGACTTGCAAAAATACTGGCAAGAGAAACAGTACTAGTCTAAAGAATAAATGTTTTATCACAATAATACAGAAACTACGAATGTTTCCTATCTCAACCCAGAAAATAACTATTTCCTAACAGAAAAAGAAAAACGGCCCATTTACCCATTCACCCGAGTAAACCAAGCTCATCTCCTTACCTACATACTACGTTTCAAATCCTGGATGAAGAAACAAGAGGGCATCATTGAGAGCCAGATGGCAGGGCCCACTGGGAAAGTGAAGGATGGGGGAGTCCTGGAATTCCAGGGCCAGGAATTTTTTTCACAGTTTCCTGCAGAGGGTGGGTTTGCTGCTCTTTTTTTGCCCCTTCTGCAGAGGCCTCAGTCCTGCTTCCCACATCATTGCCTGCCTTTCCCCTCAGCTCATCTAGTCTAAAAGGGACATGCCTATGTGCACATCCATGGGACACGTTCGATCCATTGCTGCTTAGTCTTCTTACATTTGCCCTTAGTTAAAGAAGAAGCTTAGAAACACTATTCTCCACTTATATGCAGTTTTTAAACAAAATTTTTTAAATGTTCTAGAACAAATTTCAGTTAAGAACCTCAAAGCTATCTGTTGATTCTGGCATTGCAGATTCCTCTATCCTTCTCCACTTCAAAGTTTTACTCTTCTCCAGCCAACGTGTACTACAGCCAAAAGTCATTATTATGGACAGACCCAACCCCATCCTCTTCAGTTCCTGAACCTCAGTAACAGGGATATGGCCACTTGCCTGGGCACCCTCCTCTTCCCTCCACCCCAGCTCTACACTGTAATAATAAGAGATGGCAAGTGCAGGCAGTGCCAATGGGTGATTTGGGGGGACCATTTGGATCTCAAATTCCAGGAGTCACCCTCAATGAGCATGCAGTATGTATGAGTAAAAACTGTCTTTATTTTACAAATGTAGCTTCAAATTCCCTAGTACTGCACCCCCAACCCAACCATCCCCTATCCTAGTCTTCCAGAGTGCCCCACCCTAAGTCCTGTCCTACAGAATTCTGGAGCCCCCATTCTTGGCGAGAGCAGCTTTCCTTCCTCTGGTGCCTGCTGTGCCACCAGCAGTAAAAGGCAGGCTGGTCACTCAGTGCCCTGAGCTTGAAAGGACGGTTGGTGGGTGAGAAGCCGTTCCTGGGCGTCCACTGCCGGCTGACAGTGAGGAGAGGTTCCATCCTTCAGGCCATGTCATGGTAGGTACTCACCTCTCAAATTTACATGGTCCAGACCAGGGGTCCTCAAACTTTTTAAACAGGGGGCCAGTTCACTGTCCCTCAGACCGTTGGAGGGCCGGACTATAGTTTAAAAAAAAACTATGAATAAATTCCTATGCACACTGCACATATCTTATTTTGAAGTAAAAAAAACAAAATGGGAACAAATACAATATTTGTATTTGCATGTGGTCCGCGGGCCGTAGTTTGAGGACCCCTGGTCCAGACCAATGGCCCAGGCTCTCCCAGCAAGTGATGATACGTTCCTTTCCTAAGGCTGTAAGGGACCTGCTTAAGTAGTCATTGCCTCATTCCCAAGGCTACTGACTTCGAGCAAAGGCCTTGCCTGAATGCAGTGATGCTGTCAGAACAATCTGTGTCCTGCCTTTCATAATTCCACGTTGGACAAGAACCCTGCATCAAGTATATCAGAAATGCCCTGCAGAGCAACAGCTGAAAGGACCAGATGACACAAGGAAGGCAGGCTTTACTTTTCCCTGGATCCTGAGGAGCAGCTCCAGGGGCACGAGCTCTCCAGTGGCAGGACCTCTCCACAGCTTCCATGACATTGAAGAGGAAGCTGCCTTTTCTACCATTTCCTACATAAGCAAGGAGTTCTGCAACTGGGTATTCAACACTTTGCTGATGAAGCTGTTTCTGATAAATGAGGCAGAGCCCCAGCTGAGCCAATTTGAAAGCATTAAGAAGGCAGGTAGCCTGCAGGAGGCAGACAGAGCACAGCCAAGGGTGTGAACTAGATCCATGCAGTGAAGCATTTGAAGGAAAGAGCTTAAATTTCTTGTGTCTTTTGAAGATGAAGAAATGTTATACTTACAAGCATTTTCTAAGACAATAAATAATGAAGAACCATGTCTTGTAATATAAATAGCAGGACAAAGGGAACTTAAGCCTTAGCCAGAATTATTTTTAACAAGCAAAGTATATTTACGTATTACCTGAAAAATTCAACATTTTTTAAAGGCAGAACATGGAGGTACAATTCAGTCAAGCATAATGTGAATATGCCCCCTTGTGATGTATTCAATAATATTTATATTAAGAGCTCTATCCTATATAATAAAAGCCTAATATGCTAAGTGTCCGGTCATCTGTTTAAGCAATCAAAGTGTAATATGCTAATGATGTGCCAAGGCTGCTCAACCACTCGCTATGACGAGCACTGACCACCAGGGGGAAGACGCTCCAACTGGTAGGTTAGCTTGCTGCTGGGGTCCGGCCAATCGGGACTGAGCAAGATGAGCCAGACACGCCCTGGATCCCTCCCGCAGTCCCTTCCCGGCTGGCCAACCTCCTGCATCCCTCCCCGACCCCGATCCATGCACCGGTCGGGTCCCTCGGCCTGGCCTGCGCCCTCTCACAATCTGGGACCCTTTGGGGGATGTTGGAGAGCCAGTTTTGGCCCAATCCCACAGGCCAGGCCAAGGGACCCTACTGGTGCACGAATTCGTGTACTGGGTCTCTAGTATAATAATAACTATATATGAGGAAAGCTTGATGTAAAGGAAATCAGAAAGGAAGGCACTACAGTCCAAGTTCATGTGTGCATGTGTTATTTGCTTTGAAAGGAGTATTCCCATATAAACTAATGAAGCTACCAATATCTCCAACATAATCTATTCCTTTCTCAATTCAAAATCAAAGACAATCACCACCATCACTCTTTTTTTTTACTCTGAAAATACAATTGTAGCAAGTTAGTTAAGAACATGATTACCGCACATTCCTGCCCATCTTCAGCCATGCTCTTAGCAAGACCAATACGTACAGAAAGGTCAATTCACACCCTCAGGTCCACTTTACTAATCGAATGGGAAACGGACTTTAGAAAATTTAATAAATACCATATTTTCATTTGCAATGTTTTTGTTTTATTTTTTCAAATACCCTTTTATAATTTTTAAGAGCCACCATGGGTTTGTTTGGTTTTAACACAGCCTAAAGTAAAATTGTCTTCAGAGTAAAACTGGGTAAATGGAATCAGAACTAGGAAAGCGTGAATGAGAATGGGTCCAGTGGGGAAAGGGTAAGGATTAAAAAGTAGAAGACAACCGCAGGGAAATGTGGAAGAAAATGTCTATACTAAGAAAATCAGAGAAGTTACTAAGCTTTGTTCCAGAGAACTGTGAGATAAATGATGGCCTTTACTCACATTAGCCCTGACATTTGATATCCAAAGTGTTGATGGCTCGTGTTTACTAGTCATATAAAAATCTAGACCAACACTATGCAATTGAACTTTCTGCTATGATGGAAATGTTCTGTCCTTTGCTATCCAATCTGGTAGTCACGAGCCACATGTGGCTACTGAGCTCTTGGAATGTGATTAGTACAACCAAAAGAATGAATTTTTTATGTTATCTAATTTTAATTAATTTCATTGTAAATAGCCACATGAAGCCAGTGGCTACTGGATCAGACAGCACAGGTGTAGAATATAAGACTGTGATTCATTTCAAAGGCTTGTTTTGAAGCTTCACCAAACCATTTATTTTCACTTATATTTAGTAGATTTTGCATACATGAATTAAGTAAAATTTCATACGAAACACAGCTCTTGCTGCCTGGCTCCATGTCATGCTTTTCACTTTTATAGTCAATTTAACATCTCTCTGCTGGGTCAGGAGCTACCATGAGCATAAACAGCATTGGGCCTGTCTCATTTACCTCTCTGTCCTGGCGTGTACCAGGCACACTGTGCACGCTTAATAAACACTTGTTCACTACTGATCAAACATCAGAGAAGTCAAGAAGGAAGCATCTTTCTTGGAAGGATTATGCATAGAAAGACGATCCAGAATACCTGGATCTCATTTTAAAAACTATTTGCAAGTTGCATAGATGACTAGTACTCTTGGTGTCTAACCTAATCTTTCCCCACTTTAACTTTGTTCTGCCCATTACTCACACAAAAGTAAGCAGTATTTCTCACTAGAGCTTTACATATTCAATATTACATTTTTACTTTAAAAAAAACAATTAATTCATGATTTTCTTAAAATGAATCACTTCTAAATCATTATGTATTCTTTTGATTCTTCCCTAAAAAACACTTCAACCTCGCTTGTACCACTTTGCTGATATTCCATAAGCTGAACACAGGACCTCCAGAGGTAAACTGATTAGAAGTGGCCTATAACATTTTTCTGACTGCTTTTCTTACAAAGCAAAAAATTATATGTAAGAGTATATGAATTTGTAAACAAAACATTTATATACACACATGCACATATACACACTCACATACACATCCACTCATATATACACCTATAGCTACACACACGCATGCACTATTCAGCTTCCAATGGTCAAGTCCTTTATCATATATTCTATTATCTACCTGGTTCTACTCTTAGAGCCCTATAATTGTGGTGGTCAGAAGAACTGCATTAGATTTCTAGCTCTTCTACTTTTTTAGATATGCATGCACTTTTGGGCAAATTACTTAAACCCTCTGGGCCTAAGTTTTATCAGTTTGTTGAAAAGATTAGATAGTAAGTATACTGGCTATGAAAGCACCGGAAGAGTCCCTAATGAACAGCAGGTGTGCCGTGTTTGCTGCATGAATAACTTATTTCATGGGTTTCTTGGGACCTCTTTGAGACGCTTACCAACTCCCTACAAATGGACAAGAGCTAGTTATCTTCTCACTTACAGTGAACAGGCTCTGAAGATTAAAGGCAGATTTAGGGCAAGTTATTGATCAGGGACTGAAGAAACAAAAGAAAGGGATATATCACAGTCTTTAAAAAATGGTGGAAGAACTCACGGAAAAAAGAAAGACATTTCTGATGCCTGATAAATATTAAATGAAAGGCCTTTCTCTGCTCTTTAAAAATGGCTCAACTCAGGCTACCTTCTAGTTTATTGTCTGTAACTGTGGCTAACCTGCTGTCTGATTATCTTCAAAGTATGAAAGATCACAAGACCACTCATTATTCAGCCTCCGAACCTCACATTTGGTAAATTTGATTTCTTCACCTTTGCCTACCTGTTCAGAGAGCCTTTATAAATAGAATTGAGGTAAATAGCAGCTTTAAAAGTTTGTACAAAGAATCCAAAGGTGAGTAGCAATAAAGTACTGCTTTAAAAAATTCATCTCTGTCTTTTGTTTCTAGACTCTCTGTTAGGGAAGTACATAGAGTCAAGATCCTAGGAAATAATGTCAAGAGGAAAGTGGGGAAGATCATGGCACTCATCCATACCTCAGCTTCCTGCAGGATCCCGTGGTTTAGGCACACCATGTCAGGGCAAGTGATGGGAGACCCACATCCGTCTCGGATTGCCAGCTGCATGTACTGTTTCAGGCACTGGAAGTTAAGAAGAAAAAAGACAGACCATTAACTGCCGCATTACAGTAGCACAAAGGTTACAAAACCACCACTGCCTCTCTTCTTCCTTACTTGGCAGTCCTGGGCTCTTGTACTCAGAAAGCATAAGTTATCACAAGTGTGAATGCTAAGACCTATCACTTTGGAAAGACTGCAGAGACAGGCAATTTGGTATGACTTCATCCTAAGAAAACTGGGTTTATTCAAGGCAGCAAATTCCTGTAGGCTCACATTTTACCCACCACAGATAGGGGAAAGCCTTCTTTCTTTCTTTCTTTTTAAACTTATTTGACTTTCCTAGATAGGGGAAAGCCTTCTTTCTTTCTTTCTTTCTTTCTTTCTTTTTAAACTTATTTGACTTTCCAGTTTAATTTTTACCTAGTGGTCCTCTCCCTCAAAGTTTGCCCAGAAATAGAACTGTGACCCTTGTGCTGAGCTAGCCAAACAGAAACAAAATGAAATTAAGTCAATGACTTATCTGGAACACCCTTAACAGCAAATACACCTGGAAAAGATCATGTAAAAGACAATTTGGGAGACAACTATGGGCCTTGGTGAATGCTACGGTGAGGAGGTTTGAGTACAACCTGGTTAAGGAAGAATTTAATAGGAAAACAGAAACCCAGAGGGGAGGGGAGGGAGAGGTGAGAAGGGAACAGTAAGAATACCAAGGACAATTTGATCTACTCATTGCCTGTTGCACCTGAATCTTAGGCAGTGGATGGAGATGTGAGTCAGACTAAGAAGGTAGGCGAGGGACTGATATAGCATTATGGAAATCTCTAACTCCTCTCTGCTCCCTCTCAACCCACCCCACATGCCCACAGGAAATTGAAGGCCATAGTTTCAGAAGATAATGCTCTTAAGAAATCTGTAAGTTGGCTTCTCAATTTCTAGTAATTTGCTCATAATTGGCCAGCTCTTTGATATAAGCATGATGGGGAAAAAAATCAAACTCAAATATTTGAAAAAGACACCCCCAAAATACATAAGCTACTCAATGAATTAATGACCCTTACAAAGTGATCATCTATATATATAAAAGCATAAGCGACTGGACAACCAGACAACCAGTCGACCAGTCGACCGGCTGGTAGCTATGATGCGCACTGACCACCAGGGGGCAGGCGCTCAACACAGGAGCTGTTCCCTGGTGGTCAGTGCGCTCCCACAGTGGGAATGCCACTCAGCTAACAGACTGGTGCCAGACTCTGGGCTCACGGCTAGTGAGCACAGCTGCAGCGGTGCAAGCCTCTCCAGTGGACACTCCCTCTGCGCACCCGAGCAGCGGCAGGCACAGTGAGACCAGGATGCATGGAAGCAGTGTGGTGCCCAGCCTGGCTCAGGCTCCTCCCCGGCCACCTGCCACGATCGATGCGGACAGCAGGCTGGAGCCCAACGAGCTGGCGGGTAAGGCCGGGCTGTGGCAGTGCAGAGGTCCACTGATGCCCGCAGGCCAAGTCGAGGGACCTCACTGGTGCACAAATCCATGCAATGGGCCTCTAGTTATTTATAATTGAACTTGGATCTTTCAAAATTACACATCTATGTATCAACCTGCTACATTAAAAATATTATTGTTGCACCAACCTTTTATAAAAGCTTAACTACTAAATAAATTTTATGGTTAGAATACTGATGACATAATTATGAAACCTAATTCTTTCATTGACTATCTTTATTCATTTTCTCCATCTGAAATTAAAACTCACATCATGATTGTATTTCAGAAAAATAATCATGTATTTATCTGACTGAAATTACTGTTACAATGTACTAATGAATCAATGACTAGGGCAAACCATTTAAACCAGATTTGCATCTCTTCTAGTAGTTAATAACTCCCTTCTCCAAGGAGTCAAGCTTTTTCTATGATGCTCATCACAGGAAAAAACACCCCACTGGAAAATAACCTAAATATCCAAAATAGAAGAACACAGAAATAAATTATGCTAAATTCATGCAAGGAAAAGCTGAAGAATTACAAAAAATATTTTTAAATTAATTTCCACTTGTATTGAAAATTTATAAAGTTGAATCTAAGCTTTCCCAAGAGTTCACAAAGAATGTACTATTTGCTAATATAATGTTCTTAGGTACACTGTAACCACAATACATAAAACCAATGAATTTTAAGCTTCCCACAAGTACTTTCCTGGCCACAATATTACATGACCCATGATTTTAGGAGAGAGGTTAGAGCTGTATACAACCAATGACAGGGTGTAATTATATAAATTCCATTTACTCTGTTGTTAAATGCTAAGAAACACTGGTTCTAGAAAGATTTGTAAGTACCAGTTGCTAAGTAATGCTCTAGTGCAGGCACTTATACTCCATCACTAGGGGCCTGCATTTCTATTCTAAGGCAAAGAGGGAAAACAACCAACTCTAGTTATTGCTTCTTATTAAGTTTTCAAGTACCTTAGGTTCATGATATGTCTTCTATTAGCTTACAGTAAAAATTTAATCTTGAACTCTCCCTCTCTTCTTCAAAATCTCTGGCTAAAGCACAAAAATACTGAAAACATGCCCATGAAGCCTGTGCATGTTACACAAACCAAACAATTCCAGAAGAGACTGGCATCTAGCTTATAAATAAACACAGAGGAACACAGAAAGAGAAAAGGAAAAACAATCATCATTTAGTCCCATTGAAAAAAAATTATATTCCAATAAACAATAGCATTAAACAAATGTCTAAATATGTAATTTTCAAAACAGCTAACAAAATCTACAGGAAATGTTTCAACTAGAACATCTCAAATATCCTGATAACCAAAGAAAGAAAGAAAAAACTTGTCTTTTAGATTGTCAACCTTTCACTTCATTAGTTTGATAGAACATAACATTCTTTAGGCCATGACGTGCCATGTACTAGTATAATAAAGACCGTTCCTCAAAATCATTCCACAGCCCTCAAGGATTCAAAAGAGATCTAACCAAGAATTTAACATCAAACACCCGGTGAGCCAGATGACTTGTATTATCTCTTCCAGCTCTGAGAGCCTATGAATTATGTACAGTGGGACCTTCCCAAAAAGAGGTTTTTCCTAGACCCCTTTCAGGTGCATATTTTCCAATGTACCAAAAAGCATTCTTTTTAAAAAAATATATATGTTTTTATTGATTTGAGAGAGAGAGGAAGGGGGAGGGAGAGAGAGAAAAACATCGATGTGAGAGAGAAACTTCAATCGGCTGCCTTCCAAATGCACCCCAAAGGAGGATTGAACCTGCAACCTGGGCATGTGTCCTGACTGGGAATCAAACCAGCAACTTTTCGGTACATAGGACAATGCTCCACCAACTGAGCTACAACAGTTAGAACCCAAAGGGCTTTCTTTATAGATGTTCTCATCTATTAGCTGGACAAGGCAAAAAGGGCTACAACATTTAGACAAAGCTCCTAAGAGATCCACCCAAAATAATATACATATATACATATATATTTACTCTAAAGTTGCTCATTCTCTGTCACTAGATTTTATACCTTTCTTTAAATTTTTCTCTAAGAAATAAAGCATTACAATGAATAGTGAAGGGAACTGGATTCTAACAATTAAAATTGAAGTATAAACTCTAAAGTTTTCTTCAGCATCTTGGGCAAGTCATTAATGTCTCCAGCTACAACATTTTCAATTATAAAATGGGACAATACCACTTGCCAAGCCTACTCTTACAGAAATAGAGAGTCCTTCATGAGGGTAAATACATGAAAATACCATGAAAAGTAAAAACAGGTATGCAAACATCCTATATAATAAAAGGGCAGTATGCAAATTGTCCCCTCAACCAGCGTTCTTCCGGGAGTTTAACCAGGGAGCAGGCCAGCCGGGGGAACGGAGGGAGGCCCTGGCTGGCAGCCGCTAGGGACCCTCCCAGTGCACATGGTCCTCTAGTAAAGTATAATGGGAGAACAGAATAGCTGTTTCTGAAGTACAGGTAGGCATGCAGAAATAAAAGTCCCCAAACGATGCAACCCCCTGAAATTAGTTTCATGATGGTGGGGTGGGGAGGTAAGAGGAGAATATGTATTGATGGAAGGAAGGAGGTAATGTGTACCATTAGCTGAAAGTTTAAATTGTTCTTGGATGCTTCTAGATGCAGATGCTGAGGTTCTGAGGTCCAAGAAGGACTGGCAGACCACCTGGATTGAAGCTGAGTTGGTGCACTACTGACCTTGGGTTTCTCAGGCCTCACTCAGCCATAGATGGGAAGGAAGGTGATGAGGGGGAAAGTACCTTGGGTATAAAAGTTTGCTTTTTATCATTCCTGGCACAATGCTATACACTAAAATAAATATTTAACAAAACGCATACTAACATTTCTCTTCTTCAGTACACAATTACATCATAATGTCTCAAGAGTGTTCTAAATAACATCTTATATTTAGGCCAATACTCTGTTTATTCCAGCTCAGACTATGATCTCTACACATGATCCAAAAATAAAATCTTTGTTGGATGCTGTTGACTTAAATTATTAATAAACTCAAGATGGTGTATCTCTCATAATTCAAAAAGCCTTTTTAACAAAGCATGCTGGTTTGAAATGTATAAAAGTTTGAAAATTTTCAAAGAAATCAATAATCTATAGCTAGACAACTTATTTCCTGGTATAGTATTATCTTACAAAGTTTTATTATAAATCTACTTTCAGAAACCTTGGCTTTTCACAAATATATTACTAGTAATGGGCATCACCTTCCTACTCCTTTGCCAACCACATAGGACATCAGAGGACTGACAGGAAAACCTGCCACCGGATGATTAAAGAGAAGTCCCAAATCAAACAACAAGCCATAAGTACAGTTAAAAGGAGACCAGAATTTTACAGTCTTCATCCTTAAGCATCTCATATTCAGAAAGCCTTCCTTGTCTTGTTCCTCCATCTGGAACAGTGCCCAGCCCATCGGCTCTCACAGCACTCTGACACCCAGCTAACACAGTACTTTTCAAGCTGGGTGCAAAGGTGTATTC